TAAGAAAAAAAAAAAAAAAAAAAAAAAAACCTGGAAGGGTGTTCCAGGGAATGGCCCAGTCCAAATGCAGGTGGGGCTGACTGGCATGTGGGGGATGCAGAGACGCTCCAGTGTCTGACCCCAGCACCCAGAGCAAAGCTCGGGAAGTTGGCCACTGTAAGGGCTTCGGGCAGGTGGTGGTTTCCTCGGGTCACTGTGAGACCTACATGCTGGCTGGCCAACAGCAGGTGTTTATCATCTCACAGCTCAGGAGGCAGAAAGCCCGAGATCAGGGTGTCAGCAGGGTTGGTCCTCCTGAGATGTGCAGGAACGCGTGCATCTCCATCCCTGTTGGCAGTTGCTGGCAGTCTGCATTCCTGGCCCGTTCCTGCTTCGCCTGGTCTCTGCCTTCATCTTCACATGGTACGCGAGTGGACATGGTCAAGTGGGCATGGCCAAATGAGGTGGTCAGAACGGCAGCAGGAACAAAGGGTGGAGGTCCAAGGAAGTCCTTCCCAGGCTGACTTGGACTTCAGCTCTGTGAGTGACCTAGTTGTGGGAAGCCCCTCAAAAAACACTGCCAAGAGATCATTGCTTTTCAGCAAAACAGATCTCCGTGCATAAATGCATAGGCACATGCATTTGCTTCCAAAATAAATTAGAAAATTCTCTCTGCATCAACTTACCAGTATTGAAGAACCCAAATTGCAGGGCTTTGGTGGTAGGACTGGTGCTGACCTTGCTATGTGCCATGTGAAAGTCACCCTGAAAATGGACCTCCTCACTACAGCTGTGCTCCAGGGAGAGCGGACATGCTGCTGGGGGTAGGCAGTGCAACGTACCACTCACCCGCCTTAACTCCCTCTTTCTGAACCAGAGAGTGATTCAGCCTTTGAAAGATAGCAGTCACTGCTTGTTGCTCATTGTTCATAACTCGTTGTTCCCTGTCTATTAATCACTCCGGGTTGCCATTGAGCATGAAGCCAGCATTGAATAGGAGGCCAAGCAGCAGGACAGCGTGTGACCGCAGTGCTGCTGCCAGGGCTGGATCTGAGTCGCAGGTGTGTCCTTGTGCACGTGACTCAGCCTGAGCAGTGATCTTTTCACTCGAAAGCGAGGATGAAAAATACTTCACAGGATCTTTTTAAGGGTAAGTGAGGTAATGACAGTGAAATACAGAGTGTGCAGCAGCCCATAGTCTGAACGTGTTCAGCCATGAGTGCTTCTGTCACGAACACTCACAGCACTCCACCTCCAAACACCCAGGGCTTTCCTGCCTGCTGTCATGATGATAGAACCCGTGGACTGGACAGGCTCTGAGCACTTTCCCTCTTGCATCACAGCTCCTGCTGCCCGAGGGTGTCAGAGAGTGACCATGTTGGACCTCTGGTTAATGCAAAGCAAAATGGTGTCAACTCTCCATACGGGAAAATATTATTTTTTTAGAGAGAGATTTTTGCTCTAGGGCACATGTGTTCACTGGAGAGACAGAAAGCAGGAAATCACCCCCGACCCCAGAGGCATGGCCACACCACAACCTCTTCTCCATTTTCTTCTCAGGATTTTAGACACACACGCACATGTGCAAGTGTGCATTTTAATTCCATGGGTCCAAGACTAGAACCATGGTCAACTACGTGGGAATCCAGCAATGTAACCACTCCGCCATCTGCTGGTTCCATGTGGGAAGATCTTAATTTGCAACATCAAAAGTATGTACTTGTTCATTATGG